CAACCAGCGTGTATCTAACAATAGCAAAATTTACATAATCCAATAAAAACAACATTTGCAGACTGGATAGCAACTGAACGTTTTTATTTTGGAAGCGTTCCAATAACATCACTTCATATAAAAACAATCAACCCAAATTTACTAAAACAGTAGATATTAAGAAAAAATTTGAAATTAATAATGGTAATAGGACTGAGTGGAGTCCAATTCGGTCTGTAATCATACGAGTGATTAATAAATTTACGAGCATGATTACAGACTTTATTAAATCCATTTTGAAATCACTGGTTATCCTTGCAATCTGATTGGCTCTCCGTTGTGCGATTTATTCACGAATCGCACTATTTTTTGATCTAAATCGCATCTTTTTCTCAGCCAATGAGAATGGGACAGTAAAACAAAACAAATAATCAGATTTCAAGGTAAGTTTAAAGTAATCAATAAAATTTCAGGAAAATGAAAGAGACAAAGCCATTGTGTGGAGAATTTTGCAACTACTCTTGCCAAAACTTTGTTGTTATTGTTTTTTTTCCAAACATTTGACGAATTTAATTAATTATTGTTTCTGAATGACGATTACGAGCTCCTTCAGGCTGAAGACCTACTTTAATGGAAGTTTCCAACTTTCAGTGTCAGTTTTGACAAATATTTTAGCGATTTTCCTTCAACATCTGCTCAAGATCCGTAAAACAAAACAACCAATCAGATTTTCAGATTAGTTTAAAGTAATCACTAAAATTTCAGGAAAATGAACGACAAAAGCCATTGTGTGCAGACTTTTGCAACTACTATTACCAAAACTTTGTTGTTATTGTAGTTTTTTTCCAAAAAATTGACGAATTTATTTAATTACAGTTTCTGAATTGGACGACAAGATGTCCCGTTACCAATTAATCAAAACTATGACAAAATTCGAGACACGAACAAACCATCGATTGATCGCTGAACGATTTTAAAACGTCGTTTATATGAATGCTGAAAAACACAGCAGTTTACTCAACAAAGTGCACCGCAACAGCGCGCGCAAAATGACGCGTACTGTCCAATTACAAGCATGACGCGTACACTGTCCAATTAATGAGTTGCCAGTAATCGGATACCCGTGTTTGCGCGAAGAACTCTGGGGTCGTCAGGGGGCAAACATTGCTAGTCGCTAGAAGGAAATGTATGGCGAAAAGTTGTTTCGAAGTACAAGAAAACGATTTTTGAGTGAGATCAACATTTTTTCGACGTCGTTTTTATCGCGTATGGATGTGGGCAATGTTGATGAGTGGAATATGTAAGTTTTTGGTTGAATAACCGTGAAATATATGACAAAATCTCCCGATAAACTCCGTTGCCTGCGTGAGGTTTATTGTGAAATTTATATCGCGTAATGGTCTGATAATATTACAAAATTAATTAGGTATAAATCGAGAGGAAATAACCCAGTAAAGCCTTTCAAGTTATGTACAGGCTACTTTTCGCTTATTTGAAAGCTCAGTCATGCAAATAATACTGGAAATATACCCGGTGGCGATCATTGTACTGTCTGGGGTTGATTTAATTACAAATGAGTCCGCGCGACTCATGCTGTGTGGCTACTGTGTTGCTCAAAGCCTTTGCNTGAATGCTGAAAAACACAGCAGTTTACTCAATAAAGTGCACCGCAACAGCGCGCGCAAAATGACGCGTACTGTCCTATTACAAGCATGACGCGTACACTGTCTAATCAATGCTCAAATCGGGCTGCTGATAGCCAATCACGTTCGAGAATTTTGTTATAGTTTTGATTAACTTTGTAACATGCCTTAGAAAACAAAGCATAACGAACAGAAAAGACTGAAGGAAATATTAATTGGCCACGTTGTAGTTATTCCAGATCTTAAGCGGTAACAGGTTTTTTTGCCACATACAGGAGCTTCGTTAAACTCAGAAGTGCTCAGCATTGTGTTCGATACATTTTAAAATAAAACAGCTGAATTTGTGCTTGGATTGCTTTGTAGCGTAACACGGAGACATCTTGTCATGAACGGGGGGAGGGGGGATGGGGGAGCTGGTCAATCATCGTACAAAGCGTGCGTGGCACATGATAAGATGAGTTGGCCAACTTGCAAAGTCACACAAATGCATGAGCTTAGAGGAACTCTAGCTAATACTTTGTCGTCACCGTCATGGTTCAGCCAGTCCAGAAATGATCTCTAACGCCACCCTTCCAGCCAATTTTTTGATGTCCTACGGTGGTATACGAGGGGCTGTTTCAATTACATCGTTCAGGGTGGTGAATGGCCTAATAATATAATGACAAAGTTTTGTCACAAAGAACGTTCACAAGAAACGTTTTCAAGGACGATTTCAACTTTGCAAAGAATCTGGTTAAATCAATGGCCAAAACTATGCACATGTCAAAAAGGTGTTCTGATTATGAACAAGAGAATGAAGAGTGAGAGGGTGAATCCCCCATAAAGGCTTTGTATTCCTAAAGTAATCCATCTCAAGTCATTTTTGGACCAGGCAGTCGCACCCAGCTGTTTCGCGGATATAAAAATCGTGTAAAGCCTCTCGGGCTGTTCATGTCAACAAAATCAGCAATTTCGGAAGTTGGCTATTTCCAGACCCTCCTTAGATTTCCGGAACTAAGAGTTATCTAACTTGAGAGGCATTATATCGGGAATAAAGCCTCCATGGGGCATTAACTTTTACACTTTATCCTCTCTTACTGTGAGCCATTTGTCTCGAAAATAGGTAATGCCTTTGATTTGTCGTGTTAATCTCAACCACCACCCCGACAACCTCAAACACCCCCCCACCACCACCACCTTAACCCCAGCGGGAGAAACTAGGACCTGGGGCCTGTTTTTCGAAAGCCCCGGAAACTTTTCGGGCCCGAAAAGCCACTTTTAGTTAATTGGTATTTAAAGAGAGAGAGGTCTACACGCCTGAAACTTCTTGTACGGAATGGAACCTCTGTTTAAATTAAGTATATGTGAATAAAACAGCTCTGTAATCATAACGTTTGAGATTTTGCTACTGCTTTCCAGGTGCGAAAACTTTTCGAGACCTTCGAGAAACGAGCCCCTGAACTGAGACTTCGACCTTTACGTATACTGCTAGGGTGCGGTTTCATTAAGCGGTCAGGAAGATAATTAAGGTATGGCGGAATGGCTTGAGATCATGGGGAAATATCAATTGTTAAATATTCCAGTCTCTATAGCAGTATCGGAATGTCGAAGTCCATATGAGATCCAGGTGCTAACTTTCTACAACACGAGCACCTTGTTTGCCCGAAAGGTGAAAAATATCTGCAAAGCCCTGGCTTTCTCTGCATATGCCACTATGTAGTGGATTTCTTTCATTCAGACACTAGATTTCCGATGGATACTGCCCAGTCATTGCTCCCTGGAATTTGTATCACTCGTTCGCCCTCTCCTTGGTTCTAGACTCCCTGTTTGCATCCTGAGCAGCAGTTCTTTCTGAAACTGAGCCCTTTAGTTCTTTGGCTTGAAAGTTGGAGTGACGCATATATGACGGAGGGGCACTGAGCTGAGACACATCGGGGGTAAGTGATAAAGGTGATACGTAAAGGGTTTCAAAATAAAACCGTAGCCGTTTTCAATCATCGCATACCTTGCGAGACTTATACTCCCTTCTCTTGAAAGAAGAGAATCTCTGTCTTGGAAGGTATAATCAGAACAAGCTAGAATTTCCGATCCGTGGAGTAGATTCATCCATGGCCGCCGGAAGCAAAATGAACAAAAAACATAAATTAAAATCACAGTACAAGCTATTTGTTTTTGTTGCGGAATTATGAAAGTACCCAGGGATTTGATTCCAATTTTACATTGGCCTAGCAATCTTCCAAGCGTTCAGTTAGTTGGAGCGCGACGCGCAAAAAAGAAAAGATGTAACGCAATAAATGCGGCCAACATTAGCCGTATTCATCTCACAAAAGTTATTTGCTCCAGAAAATTTATCACACTCATCGCGAGAGGCGTTTGAAGTTCATAAATTTGTAAGTCTTCATATATCGATGAGTAATGAGTATTTCAACATCATCATCATCATCAACAACAACCTCATCATTTTATTTAGTAATGCAGGTTATAAAGATTGGCAGCCAGTGAGGCTGATGTGGACCTACAATTAACTAATAAAATGTGAAATAATAAACAAAATAATTTATAAATTTACCCTATGGTATTTAAATATACAACTGACCATAATCAAATTAAAAATAAATTCAGTATCACGTCAATAAAATGAAGTCCATAGACTAATAAAAACTTCAAGCTGAAATTTCAATACAATGCTGTCAGTGGACAACAGCGAGTGATCATGTTATGAATAATCATTTACAACTTTCTGTCTCTGTCTACACATATCATAAACTTGTATATACCTCGATGGTAACGAGATAAACGCCTCTGCCCAGCGATATATATATTTGCATTCTAGATCTGCATAAGCGGTGTCCTTTATCTTCAGAAAATGCTTTTCAGTATCTATATTAGTTTGGGTGGAATCCTTTGGATGGATGCTCCAGATCAGAAATACCACTCGGATTATGGCGCATCAAGGGAACCGATGAATCCTTGCCCAGAGTTTATCGGGATCATTATGTAGTATTCTATATTTGGAAGTTGGTTCTTCATACAGATATAGATGTATAACAGCAGCACTCCAGTTCACAAATTCTTTTCAGCTGACCATACAGAGAATGTTCAGTTAAAAGCTGATAACCCAGCACATAATTGAAATATCATTTGGTGAAAAACAGTGGCCCGTTATTGCACATCCCCTACTTACATCAACCATGAACATGATTTCCCCGCTTCTAGACGCCATTTAACCACGCACGACAGCCATCACCATCACTACCCCAACACCTTGTGACTCTTCACCAAACAACTTCTTCTTCCACCATAGCCACGTCCATCAACACAGCCACCACCACTTCCTACACATGCCCCACCATCGTCTCATTTTCCTACGCCACCTCCACCACTGTTAACCCCCATCCATCCTCCTCCACCACCACCAGCAGCATTATCGCCATGCTGAGCCACATCCCGCGGCCTCCAGACTCTCTTCATCAGACACATTCTCACCTACAACATTAGGCAAACCATCGTTACAGCCACACGGTAAGTCCTCGTTGAAGTCGTAGTGACAAACTCTTTCTTCGGAAGTTTCCAACATGTCCTGCCTCACTGAGAGGCAGACGTTGGTGGGTACCTTTGAACTCAAATACCCGGCACTGTAAATGGAAGGAGATATGAAGCCCGAAGGAGATGTTTGCGAAGAAGGCGACGATTTCCGCGATGGGTGTGAGACGTAGGGGATACACAGAAGGTGCAAGACTGACACCGAGAACGCCAGAGCGAGAATCTGAGGAATATTTTGTGCACGAGGGGAGATTATCACCGTATTCAACTTGAGATCTACTTGCACAGTGGTGTCAGGGTCCAATTGCATCGCAAACACGCCATGGCCTAATTTGCGAACTGAGCACCAGCCACGATCACCAAACAACTTGTAGACCTTTATTGCGACATAATGCTGCCATCCTGGTATTCCTCTGTCTGATGTTTTCGTCAGCTTACCGATACAAACGCCCCAATCTTTATTACCTCGAATCAGCATGGCTCTCTCACCCTCATTCTCGTTCTGGACTATATTCTTCTGCTGGTCTTCAACGGCACTTCGTTCTGGGAATGTACCTGGGCTGATTGTGTGGGATGTTGCCACAACCTGATCATAAAGGTTAATTATCTCCAACGCAGACAGCAGCGCCTCTGATGAATGAACAACACGGTACCTGAACACTCGATATCCTCTCCAGAGGACAGGGTGGGTAGAAGAGTCACAAGGCACAGACACCTTCGCTAGATCACTTGGGGAAAGCATCAGTTCTGGGAAACTAAGCACCATCGATGGATGGTTACAGGGCACAAACTTCTTCATTGGTTGAACTTTGAAGCAGTGTTTGATGATGCTCGGAGGATCTATCTTGAGGGTTAACTTTACTGTATACTGTGCACTGCAGAAAGGAACGTCAATCGTAATTGGCTGGCTAGATACAGTAGCGGCTTCAGCGTCAACAACCTCCTGAACATAGGGGAGAAGATCTACTTGGCACTTTTCAATTAACCTCGTGCGGAATATCTCCCACTTGTAAACAGAAACAATAATGGCTGGTTCTGCGCCATTCTCGATTGTAAATTTTTTCGGTGCTCCGAAATGTTCTTGATTAACTCCTTTGAAGGTTTGGCTATAAAGGATTCTTCCCTCCAAGTTTTCCATCTGAATTACGAAGTTTAACAGCCTTTTTAATCCCACTGCTTCGAATTCAACTTTTTGGATCTCAAATGAATACTCCTGACAAGCAAGCAGTGTATACAGCGACTTTGGTGCCGGCGGACTAGGATCAGGTGGATCACCTCTGTACATGGCCCCTGCTTTCTCTAAACGCTCTCCTGCCGCCTCCCACAAAGACCTCGTCTTCAATTCAATGCGGTACAAATTGGATCCTGGGGTTCGACCTGTAACATCTTGATGTAACGGCGTTCCAAACAATTCTGTTGTTGTCTGCTTGTAATTTAATGGGTGAAGTTGATGGGCGTGCCAGATAAGTTGGACATCGTAGCAAGGAACCATGGACACGTCTGGGTGTAGCCTCTTTAGCTGCACATGATGCTCATACCGTTCTGCAGCACTTTTGAGAAACAAGTCGTCACTGTAGTGTGGCAATGAAACTTGGTAATAAAACTTGAACTGACGATAGCAAGCTTCTTCCAGATTGTACTGAATCCTGGATCGATATTCCGTTAACAATGTCGGGGGTTTTGTAAGATCTACTTCAAACGGCTCCCCTGGAAGTGCCCCATACCAGCGATCTCTGGTCAACTGAAGGGCTAGGTTCCTTTGGGTGGTGTTTAAAGGTGCATGGTCTAACACTGTGGATACAATATTGAGGCAGTCCTGCTCGTAGTAAAATGGAGCCAACATGTGGACATGCCAGACCCATGCGATGTCCAATGGAGCTGCTTGGAGGGCTGGCGATGAGCCAAATCTTGAAGCAAATGGCAACCAAAAGAGCTCATATCGTCTGATGGCGTTTTTAACAAGAGATCCTTTGCACAGGTTCGGATTATCGTCCACCAGTTTAAGGAACTCGAGCTCGTTCTTGGCTGCCTGGATCAGATCTATACCAAGTGTTTGGGACAAATTACTATCTCTTGACATTTGGGAAACTCCGGAGTACAGTCACGACAGGGATCAGTGCCACTCTCTGAAAGATCGTTTTCAAAAGAGAAAAACAAATTACCAGACCATACCCGACATAAATAAGCGTCTCAAAATCGCAGACGCCAAATAAAATTAAGGTCTTTTGGTATAAATAAAATCGTGGGATTTTTTGACGGTGATTTGAATTTTTCCAGCTATTTGCAACACACTTTATACTTTGTTATGCAGAAGTTTTACATTGTTACTACCTATTGAGGGACTATCAATGGTATTACAATTGCTCTTGTCAACTGGTCTTTGGCCGTATCATTTAGTTCATGATCAATTCCGTTCGACACTCCGTCGAGTTATAGAAACATGATTAGAAGTTTAGGAGAATGAGAAATGCTATAGAAACACGGGCCACGGGCGAGTGCTTCGCAGCTCTTTCAAATTCTTCTTAACTTTCACGAGTTTTTCTAGAACTCAATAGAAACAAGTAGAAAATGTTTTCTATTTCTTTTGGAGGACACTGTTAGAATAGAAGAAAGGAAAATCACCCGTATATTTCGATTATCAGAAGCAAATTCTCTGCGCGGGCGCCATGATACATTATGTCAACAGCTCGTGCCGTGATTCTTATCTGTGCTTCTATTGTAACAATAAAGTGTTTCTATCTCAGACCTGTGGGTTCAGAGGTGCCCGAGGGTATTTTATGTTATATTCTCCAGCTGTAGAGTTCTTAAAAATCGTCGTCAGATTCCCTGCTTTGAGCTACAGCCACTCAAGACATGAGTACTTTTACATTTATTTTTGTCTTTCAAATTCGTTCATGACGTCAAGTTATTCGAAATTAATTAAAAATTTTTAACTTCCTTACTCGTAAAATCCATCTTGAAAGACTTCATGTATACGTGCACACGGGATTACAAAACCTCTAGTTGAGGTGGAGATATGTAACTGAAAACAGGGTGAAACAGTCTGGGGACATTTTACCTTGTTTATATATGTTTAAGTTAATTTACATTGCCATGTTCAAATTTGACAAATATTTAAAACAATAAAGGTATTAATTGACGTGACAGCAGGAATCAGCAAAAAGAACATGACTGATTACCTTGTAAAAGACCCTTCGCTCGGTATACAAACTGCCATGGAGTAGCGGCATTATGCGTATGTCTTGGCATCTTTGAGGCTGATAAATGTTGTGCCACTATAAATTTTGAACAACTTGGAAATCGTGACTATTCACACGAAGAGTTTCGTTCCGGAACCAGCTGAGGGCTCATGGGTCAAATAACTCTCTGCCTTTGGAAAACTGTTCGAGCGTTTAACTCACGATATAAAGGATTTCGTAGCGCACAAGAAAAAAATGGCCATAGAAACTGACAGTGACTTGCAACACTGATAATTTGCCAGTATTCAGCACAAATGAAATCAATAGTTACGGCCAAGATGCGGTTCGTTCGCCAGATTAATTTGTAAACTGAAGCGCCCTTATTAGCGGAAGTTAAAGGCATTTGTAGTGACGGTTATGCTAAACTGCTCTTACATTTGTCGATTTTTCGTCATTAACGTTTTATGTTTCTAGCCTTCTTTTTTACATTTAGCAGGGCACTGACCGTGGTTTAAATCTGCCCTTAAGAAACATAATTTACATATATCTTCACAGACCCATGGAAAGTTCAGAAAGAAAATCCAAGGGGTAAATAACGCGTTACATGTATGACTGAAATCTAACAAGCTGGAATAAATAAAGAGATAAATACTTTCTAGGCAAGATGTAACACCAATATCTTTTCTTGAAACTCGCTCATAATATTTCTACTGAAAAAGCGCTGTCACAATTCTTGCACTGCATGTGCTTGTTGTCCAGTTCACGCAGTCGACACAACGACGCGAGCTGAAGAAAAAGAAAAAGTTCTGTTCTCGTACTTTTGCTTAACATTCTTGTTTGTCGTCATGAGGTTCCCCAGTCCAGAACATGGGGTACAGGTCTTGTGCTTTTTAAAATATTCCGCTTGAAGCGTAACCAGCCAGTCTTATGTATTTCATCTGACAATAATTTACCATACGAGGGATAACTAATTTCAGTTTTTATACACTCAATACTACACTCACCTTTAAATTGTGTAACGCTGCTGTTACAGCTTGTAGGTGCTAGATTACACTTATGGCGAGCGATTTTGTCTTTATAAATCAGTGAATTTCCTTTTTATTGGACAGTGTGTTTGCATCAGTTGACGTCATGTTAACCCCCTTAATTGTCTTTGACGTGAGCACGAGGTTATCTTTGAAACCACAATCGAACAAATCTCGTGTTTGTCTGAGAAAAGCAATTTTAGAACTTGATATTGTGCACTGTGTTAACATTCAAAAGCTACCTCAATTTTATCCCGCTGACCTGTACCAAACGATCACATAAACATTAGAATGACTTCCGCTATTTTGATAGTACGTCACCAAAAGTAGAGGAAAAAAAAAACAATTTCACAAAGATCACCACATATGACAGCACTTTTATTTCTTAAGGCTTCTAAGCAACAGAGGTTACCACAGCAAAGACTGTGGCATCCTTTCCCAAAAGAAAGCTGGATTTTTCCAATTTTAATATGAAACCCTGCCTCCATTTTTTCAGTTTGTTGTTAGACATGCAATTTTGCGTGGTTTCACAACCTGGAAACATAAATCTTTTTGTTATGAAATGTGTAGCAGTTAATTGTGCGAATCCCACAAAACCCTTTCATGGCTTTCTCAAAAACTGCGTTACAGGTTTTTGCAAAATTTTGTTTCCCGTTTGCACCCATTAAAATTTATTATTACCCTCTATATTTTGGAGTTGGTTATTCAGTTATGTTGTTTCCAAACTTAAATATATATGTTTGTGTTTTATTTCTTTGGAGACTGCAAAATAAAAAGAAATTTATCTCTCCTCCATGAAATCAAAGCTGAGAATGGCTAATCCAAAAATGATAAGTGTTGTTTGAATTTAGTTAGTAATGTAGCTAACAAAAGTCCATAACATAATCTCCTTTACTTAGACCTATTGCTGCATTTATTGATTTCGTTATACACGAACAGAGTTTTGTTCTTGAATTGATCTACTTTCACCACGAAGTTGAACAGCGAAAGCCGAAGGCAGAATGTTTTTCTCTAAGGGNATGGATGCTCCAGATCAGAAATACCACTCGGATTATGGCGCATCAAGGGAACCGATGAATCCTTGCCCAGAGTTTATCGGGATCATTATGTAGTATTCTATATTTGGAAGTTGGTTCTTCATACAGATATAGATGTATAACAGCAGCACTCCAGTTCACAAATTCTTTTCAGCTGACCATACAGAGAATGTTCAGTTAAAAGCTGATAACCCAGCACATAATTGAAATATCATTTGGTGAAAAACAGTGGCCCGTTATTGCACATCCCCTACTTACATCAACCATGAACATGATTTCCCCGCTTCTAGACGCCATTTAACCACGCACGACAGCCATCACCATCACTACCCCAACACCTTGTGACTCTTCACCAAACAACTTCTTCTTCCACCATAGCCACGTCCATCAACACAGCCACCACCACTTCCTACACATGCCCCACCATCGTCTCATTTTCCTACGCCACCTCCACCACTGTTAACCCCCATCCATCCTCCTCCACCACCACCAGCAGCATTATCGCCATGCTGAGCCACATCCCGCGGCCTCCAGACTCTCTTCATCAGACACATTCTCACCTACAACATTAGGCAAACCATCGTTACAGCCACACGGTAAGTCCTCGTTGAAGTCGTAGTGACAAACTCTTTCTTCGGAAGTTTCCAACATGTCCTGCCTCACTGAGAGGCAGACGTTGGTGGGTACCTTTGAACTCAAATACCCGGCACTGTAAATGGAAGGAGATATGAAGCCCGAAGGAGATGTTTGCGAAGAAGGCGACGATTTCCGCGATGGGTGTGAGACGTAGGGGATACACAGAAGGTGCAAGACTGACACCGAGAACGCCAGAGCGAGAATCTGAGGAATATTTTGTGCACGAGGGGAGATTATCACCGTATTCAACTTGAGATCTACTTGCACAGTGGTGTCAGGGTCCAATTGCATCGCAAACACGCCATGGCCTAATTTGCGAACTGAGCACCAGCCACGATCACCAAACAACTTGTAGACCTTTATTGCGACATAATGCTGCCATCCTGGTATTCCTCTGTCTGATGTTTTCGTCAGCTTACCGATACAAACGCCCCAATCTTTATTACCTCGAATCAGCATGGCTCTCTCACCCTCATTCTCGTTCTGGACTATATTCTTCTGCTGGTCTTCAACGGCACTTCGTTCTGGGAATGTACCTGGGCTGATTGTGTGGGATGTTGCCACAACCTGATCATAAAGGTTAATTATCTCCAACGCAGACAGCAGCGCCTCTGATGAATGAACAACACGGTACCTGAACACTCGATATCCTCTCCAGAGGACAGGGTGGGTAGAAGAGTCACAAGGCACAGACACCTTCGCTAGATCACTTGGGGAAAGCATCAGTTCTGGGAAACTAAGCACCATCGATGGATGGTTACAGGGCACAAACTTCTTCATTGGTTGAACTTTGAAGCAGTGTTTGATGATGCTCGGAGGATCTATCTTGAGGGTTAACTTTACTGTATACTGTGCACTGCAGAAAGGAACGTCAATCGTAATTGGCTGGCTAGATACAGTAGCGGCTTCAGCGTCAACAACCTCCTGAACATAGGGGAGAAGATCTACTTGGCACTTTTCAATTAACCTCGTGCGGAATATCTCCCACTTGTAAACAGAAACAATAATGGCTGGTTCTGCGCCATTCTCGATTGTAAATTTTTTCGGTGCTCCGAAATGTTCTTGATTAACTCCTTTGAAGGTTTGGCTATAAAGGATTCTTCCCTCCAAGTTTTCCATCTGAATTACGAAGTTTAACAGCCTTTTTAATCCCACTGCTTCGAATTCAACTTTTTGGATCTCAAATGAATACTCCTGACAAGCAAGCAGTGTATACAGCGACTTTGGTGCCGGCGGACTAGGATCAGGTGGATCACCTCTGTACATGGCCCCTGCTTTCTCTAAACGCTCTCCTGCCGCCTCCCACAAAGACCTCGTCTTCAATTCAATGCGGTACAAATTGGATCCTGGGGTTCGACCTGTAACATCTTGATGTAACGGCGTTCCAAACAATTCTGTTGTTGTCTGCTTGTAATTTAATGGGTGAAGTTGATGGGCGTGCCAGATAAGTTGGACATCGTAGCAAGGAACCATGGACACGTCTGGGTGTAGCCTCTTTAGCTGCACATGATGCTCATACCGTTCTGCAGCACTTTTGAGAAACAAGTCGTCACTGTAGTGTGGCAATGAAACTTGGTAATAAAACTTGAACTGACGATAGCAAGCTTCTTCCAGATTGTACTGAATCCTGGATCGATATTCCGTTAACAATGTCGGGGGTTTTGTAAGATCTACTTCAAACGGCTCCCCTGGAAGTGCCCCATACCAGCGATCTCTGGTCAACTGAAGGGCTAGGTTCCTTTGGGTGGTGTTTAAAGGTGCATGGTCTAACACTGTGGATACAATATTGAGGCAGTCCTGCTCGTAGTAAAATGGAGCCAACATGTGGACATGCCAGACCCATGCGATGTCCAATGGAGCTGCTTGGAGGGCTGGCGATGAGCCAAATCTTGAAGCAAATGGCAACCAAAAGAGCTCATATCGTCTGATGGCGTTTTTAACAAGAGATCCTTTGCACAGGTTCGGATTATCGTCCACCAGTTTAAGGAACTCGAGCTCGTTCTTGGCTGCCTGGATCAGATCTATACCAAGTGTTTGGGACAAATTACTATCTCTTGACATTTGGGAAACTCCGGAGTACAGTCACGACAGGGATCAGTGCCACTCTCTGAAAGATCGTTTTCAAAAGAGAAAAACAAATTACCAGACCATACCCGACATAAATAAGCGTCTCAAAATCGCAGACGCCAAATAAAATTAAGGTCTTTTGGTATAAATAAAATCGTGGGATTTTTTGACGGTGATTTGAATTTTTCCAGCTATTTGCAACACACTTTATACTTTGTTATGCAGAAGTTTTACATTGTTACTACCTATTGAGGGACTATCAATGGTATTACAATTGCTCTTGTCAACTGGTCTTTGGCCGTATCATTTAGTTCATGATCAATTCCGTTCGACACTCCGTCGAGTTATAGAAACATGATTAGAAGTTTAGGAGAATGAGAAATGCTATAGAAACACGGGCCACGGGCGAGTGCTTCGCAGCTCTTTCAAATTCTTCTTAACTTTCACGAGTTTTTCTAGAACTCAATAGAAACAAGTAGAAAATGTTTTCTATTTCTTTTGGAGGACACTGTTAGAATAGAAGAAAGGAAAATCACCCGTATATTTCGATTATCAGAAGCAAATTCTCTGCGCGGGCGCCATGATACATTATGTCAACAGCTCGTGCCGTGATTCTTATCTGTGCTTCTATTGTAACAATAAAGTGTTTCTATCTCAGACCTGTGGGTTCAGAGGTGCCCGAGGGTATTTTATGTTATATTCTCCAGCTGTAGAGTTCTTAAAAATCGTCGTCAGATTCCCTGCTTTGAGCTACAGCCACTCAAGACATGAGTACTTTTACATTTATTTTTGTCTTTCAAATTCGTTCATGACGTCAAGTTATTCGAAATTAATTAAAAATTTTTAACTTCCTTACTCGTAAAATCCATCTTGAAAGACTTCATGTATACGTGCACACGGGATTACAAAACCTCTAGTTGAGGTGGAGATATGTAACTGAAAACAGGGTGAAACAGTCTGGGGACATTTTACCTTGTTTATATATGTTTAAGTTAATTTACATTGCCATGTTCAAATTTGACAAATATTTAAAACAATAAAGGTATTAATTGACGTGACAGCAGGAATCAGCAAAAAGAACATGACTGATTACCTTGTAAAAGACCCTTCGCTCGGTATACAAACTGCCATGGAGTAGCGGCATTATGCGTATGTCTTGGCATCTTTGAGGCTGATAAATGTTGTGCCACTATAAATTTTGAACAACTTGGAAATCGTGACTATTCACACGAAGAGTTTCGTTCCGGAACCAGCTGAGGGCTCATGGGTCAAATAACTCTCTGCCTTTGGAAAACTGTTCGAGCGTTTAACTCACGATATAAAGGATTTCGTAGCGCACAAGAAAAAAATGGCCATAGAAACTGACAGTGACTTGCAACACTGATAATTTGCCAGTATTCAGCACAAATGAAATCAATAGTTACGGCCAAGATGCGGTTCGTTCGCCAGATTAATTTGTAAACTGAAGCGCCCTTATTAGCGGAAGTTAAAGGCATTTGTAGTGACGGTTATGCTAAACTGCTCTTACATTTGTCGATTTTTCGTCATTAACGTTTTATGTTTCTAGCCTTCTTTTTTACATTTAGCAGGGCACTGACCGTGGTTTAAATCTGCCCTTAAGAAACATAATTTACATATATCTTCACAGACCCATGGAAAGTTCAGAAAGAAAATCCAAGGGGTAAATAACGCGTTACATGTATGACTGAAATCTAACAAGCTGGAATAAATAAAGAGATAAATACTTTCTAGGCAAGATGTAACACCAATATCTTTTCTTGAAACTCGCTCATAATATTTCTACTGAAAAAGCGCTGTCACAATTCTTGCACTGCATGTGCTTGTTGTCCAGTTCACGCAGTCGACACAACGACGCGAGCTGAAGAAAAAGAAAAAGTTCTGTTCTCGTACTTTTGCTTAACATTCTTGTTTGTCGTCATGAGGTTCCCCAGTCCAGAACATGGGGTACAGGTCTTGTGCTTTTTAAAATATTCCGCTTGAAGCGTAACCAGCCAGTCTTATGTATTTCATCTGACAATAATTTACCATACGAGGGATAACTAATTTCAGTTTTTATACACTCAATACTACACTCACCTTTAAATTGTGTAACGCTGCTGTTACAGCTTGTAGGTGCTAGATTACACTTATGGCGAGCGATTTTGTCTTTATAAATCAGTGAATTTCCTTTTTATTGGACAGTGTGTTTGCATCAGTTGACGTCATGTTAACCCCCTTAATTGTCTTTGACGTGAGCACGAGGTTATCTTTGAAACCACAATCGAACAAATCTCGTGTTTGTCTGAGAAAAGCAATTTTAGAACTTGATATTGTGCACTGTGTTAACATTCAAAAGCTACCTCAATTTTATCCCGCTGACCTGTACCAAACGATCACATAAACATTAGAATGACTTCCGCTATTTTGATAGTACGTCACCAAAAGTAGAGGAAAAAAAAAACAATTTCACAAAGATCACCACATATGACAGCACTTTTATTTCTTAAGGCTTCTAAGCAACAGAGGTTACCACAGCAAAGACTGTGGCATCCTTTCCCAAAAGAAAGCTGGATTTTTCCAATTTTAATATGAAACCCTGCCTCCATTTTTTCAGTTTGTTGTTAGACATGCAATTTTGCGTGGTTTCACAACCTGGAAACATAAATCTTTTTGTTATGAAATGTGTAGCAGTTAATTGTGCGAATCCCACAAAACCCTTTCATGGCTTTCTCAAAAACTGCGTTACAGGTTTTTGCAAAATTTTGTTTCCCGTTTGCACCCATTAAAATTTATTATTACCCTCTATATTTTGGAGTTGGTTATTCAGTTATGTTGTTTCCAAACTTAAATATATATGTTTGTGTTTTATTTCTTTGGAGACTGCAAAATAAAAAGAAATTTATCTCTCCTCCATGAAATCAAAGCTGAGAATGGCTAATCCAAAAATGATAAGTGTTGTTTGAATTTAGTTAGTAATGTAGCTAACAAAAGTCCATAACATAATCTCCTTTACTTAGACCTATTGCTGCATTTATTGATTTCGTTATACACGAACAGAGTTTTGTTCTTGAATTGATCTACTTTCACCACGAAGTTGAACAGCGAAAGCCGAAGGCAGAATGTTTTTCTCTAAGGGTGTACCATCCTCAGTTAACGCCTTTCGCGTGCAATGGTTTCTCATAATCGCAAATTAAGTTTAAGCAATTGTTTTTATCATTTAGATGCGCAACCCGTGAGCTTTTCTCCTTTATTTCTTCAACCTGCTACAGGAGTCTGGGAATGGAAAATGGAAAGATTCCAGCCAGAGCTATCACAGCCTCGACTTATTATAGTCCCAGTTACAACTCGCCCACTGCATGGTCTGTCGCTGACCAACCTGGTCCACACTCCTGGCTCCAAGTTGATCTTGGTGAAATCATGGCGGTCAAAAAGGTTGCTACAAAGGGAAGAAGTATGATAGTGTCGCCAATTGGGTGACATCTTATGAAATTTCATCCAGTGCAGACGGGATCGACTGGGTTCTGCACGCCGAGAACGGTATTGTGAAAGTAAGTTTTCTGGGCTTTTCAAATGTAGCTATATAACCACGGAACTCAGTTTACAATATCCCGATGGATTCAACTTACAACACGATGTTAAAATTTCCTTTCAGGAAGTTAGTTTAACTTGAGGAACTTTACGCTAAAATGACGTCACCCATTCAAAATATCCGCCATCTTGGATTTGAAAATATTTTTAGATAAATCAGAAAAACTCCAAAACTGACTAAACAAAATGAGAAAAGATAAGGACATAAGAAATATAAAGAACTCCAAATAAGATCGTCATAGACGCCGAACTCAAACTAAAACAAAATTTGAGCTTAGGAAGAAAATTTAGGTCAAACCGGCAACGTTTCAAACGATTAATCAAAGCAATGCGACCAAAATTTCCTTGATAACTTTTAGGAAAAGTTGGAAAGTTTAACCACTATAGCTTGAGTTCTGTTTTGGTAAGGCTTAACAGGCTTTATTCAGGTGTGGTTCCATAACAAATTTGATGTCCGCTTAATATGGGGTCCGCTTAATACAGGTTTCACTGTACTTGTATGTTGTCTTGTTCAAGCGATTTTCAATCCAGGGTTCAAAGTAATTTGGTTTGGTTTTACTACGCTTTGTGATCGATTAAAGAAAGAAAAAAACCTCTTCTCGTCTCTTTTCATCGAGATATAGAGAATCTTTATCCCGATTCCGCCTGGTTAGAGTTGCGGTTCTCTGAGTAACGACCGTAACGTTCAAGTTTTTTTTTGTTTTTCATCCTGCTCCCGCTGTCAATTTTAAAACTATCTCGCATCCCGCGGGTCAATTGAGGAAATCCCGCTCCTGCCAAAGAATCTTTTATCATGCATCCGGTCACTAACATGCATTGCTGTCATCCCGTCTCCCGCCTCCATTTCTACTCTTATCTGGCATCCCGCCAAACCCGTGTTGAACTCCAATAAACGTAGCTTGGAAACCGATTTAAACATATGAATAGTGAACAAGATGTATTTTCGTTTATTTCTTTCACAGATTCACGTCTATTCTTAAGATTTATTTAGCCAGTGTTGTTTCTAAGCTTAAAGCATTTCTTAATGTTTCGTTTTACTTCCTTGTATACTTTGAACTTCCATCGAGCAAACATATCAAGGTGTAGCTGTCGTGCGAATGAAACATCTGGCTGCTGAAAAACTTCTCAAAATATTATTACATGTTTTTGTTTCTTCCTTTGTAGTCCTTCTGTAAAGGAATTGTCCTGTGCTTAGTTTTGGTTAGGTTTGAATAAAAGAAATCTCCGCAATATCTAAATTAGACGATCCCTTGAATTGCCGACGAAGCATCTCGAAATTTCGTGCAAGGAAACCATGATTTCGCAAGGTACCACTATTTAAGTTTTCTTATGTTAGTTTCTGCACAATGATCGAAAGGGTGGCCCTAGGTGAGAAATGTTGATTCTTCATATCTTTTTCCGTATCATAAATTTGCTTTCATCGAAAAGCAGTCTTCGTTGGGTCTTCACTTAGAAAAGCTTGCTTACTTTAAAATTCGAATTCTCTCACCAGAAACTTGTTTACGTTTGTAAGTTAAGGGAACTTGGTCACGCAGAAGATGTTGGTTCATATTGCTATCGACAGAAACTCTTTTACTTTCGGTAGAACTGGTATTTAACGGATGAAACAAAATTCGTCAAAATCACGCAATTTCAACGTTGCCGAAAGATTTATGATTTCTGTAAAATCAGCATACTGATGTGTTTAAGAATCTTCCACATGCTAAGCTGAAGAAAACTGTGTTTTCTGGGTAAAAAATTAAATATTCGAGAAAAACGGAAATTATAGGAAAAAAGTGAAACAAATTTAAAATAGGCCGCCATGTTTAGTGAAGTCACTGCCCCCTCGGCAGCGCTACTTGCTTATGTATCCCATAATATTAACATAGACGACATGACAGGTTATCTCTAAAGGCAATTCCATCGAAGTAGAACTTGCAATAGATTTTCTCTCAGACTTGGCTGGCTGCTTATATCAAAAGAACTTAAATTTTGAATTTAAAAAGGGGGGTCCCCGTATTCGTTTAGGAGCAGGAGGACCTACAACATATCCCATAATTCCTTAAATTATCAGCTTTCAGGAACATTTATATTTGAACCATTCACTCTACGCTTTGTGACAGCAGAAAAATTGGGAGAAAGTTTAGCGACGAATACAACATTGGATGGATTGCACCTCAATAAGCAATTTGATGTACGTTTCATGTTAAAGACAACCATATTTAATCGACAGGGATTCAATCATTATGTTCCAAGCACGCAGTGTTCATGAGGGCACATATTATCTTTTACGAGTGCTAGGTATGCTCTCATTTTCAGTGATAAGTTTTTACTCCGCAATAGTACGGTAAAGAAAGAAGATGATCGCTGCATTCAAACTAAATCAAAAAAATCGCTAGGTCGCGTTACTTGTTTACGAAAAAAGAACCCTGACGATTTGTCTCTCGCAAGTAGAGCAGTTAAGAAAACGCCATCACTTTGTTTATGTGCGCGCGCTAATTGTGTTATTCTGGTTAGTAAGTATGCGCAATCTAATACAGAGGAATCGTCTTAAAAGTGAAAACCTCCCAAAATAGCGAGAAGTAACGAAAACGCTAGCGGGTGTTCCACTCCCCTCACTCACACCCCCTTTTACCACGTTGGGTTGTACGTGCGTGGGTTAACTAATATAACTTTGGAAGCACTACTATTTTTTTGTTATCTCCATGCAGTTATGTCTCCGAATGAGGACATGATCATCACG